TTAAATATTCAAGAAATAGAATGTTTCCAATACTTATTGGTGGACTGCAACATTTGGTACACAATTTATATTGTTCCAATTACATTCGCCAGGATAATAACAGTTCGCACTTGATATAACTCCTGGCGTTATGCACGCTATTGCATCCTGTTTGTAAATGTAACACATCAATTTGATCGTAAGATGTAAGAAATTGCCTTGGCTTTACGTAACTCGGGGAACTAAAAGCATTGCGATTGTAGTTTCGAATTCACGAAACCGTTGAGAGGCACATCTTTCCATTCGAAAAGTACAGCTTGAAAGGAAGATTATCAGGAATTTCGTGAAGTATATTCGACATTACTTACACTAAAAGGTTCGCCCCAGAGTAGGATTGAGGCGGTATTATTTATTCTTTTATTCGGTCGTTCTAAAAATTCGTACCAGTTATACTTCTGCTACTCGAATTAATATGCGAAACATACTCTTAAGTGTTATAAAAAAGGCAATGTCTCTCATTTTATAATATTTTCTCACTTTTAGGACAGTCATGATACCGTCGCTGTAAAATTTCTGAAGTTTTCTTTATTAAATATTGACACAGTCTTCAGCACGAACTTATGAGATGGCTTAATATTTATTAATTTCTAGAAATACGTTTTTATGGATCTTTCATGGGCACATCCAATGCTTTGGTTTATATTTAGAAATATACAGGGTGAGGCATTGAACATTTGCTGGAGCAGTACGTACGGAAATACAAAAAAAAAAAATGGACTATTTAAAGAGTGCTTTGAAACAATGTATTTTCCATTCCAGTCAGTCTGTGTGACTTTGAATGACCTTCAATTACAGGTAATTGTACTCGTCTTGAAACGCTCGATTAGAAAGTACATCAAAAAGTAAATCATTCCATTAACACGTTGACCGTCACGTCACTCACATATGGGTGACAAGGATTTTCACTGAAGAACGAATAAATTAATTCTGAAAGTGAGGTGTCGAAGACAATTAATTTGGATAGGATTGGTTAATTCTAAAGAGGTCGCAAAAATGAGTACTACCACGGATGTTAGATTATGCCATTTCTAATTGTATAGAAAGAAAATTTTAGCTTCGCAGGAATTTTTATGATTATTAGTCTGGCAATCAACTTATTAAAAAAAAATGGTGTTGGCCTCCATATCTCCTGTACACCTCCACCGATAAAAAAACACCAGGATTCTACCATTAACTTTTCAAGGGACATCGTAAGTCCAGGCAAATTTTATTAGTAATTACACAGGGTAAACTTAAAGATATAAGAAAAAAGTAAAATAAAATTTGTAAAAGTGTATTTATACTTTATAATGTTTCTATGTCTTGTTTTCTTAATAATTAATGCAATATGACATTTTATATGGTGGCAAAATAGAAATGTATTTCGAATAACGAATAAAAGATAAGAAACTGCTTTACCTATTACTTTCTAAATAAAAATAAAAATTTGAATCATATTGGTGAGTGTAGGTACTACATTATAATATTTATATGTCTCATTTTTCTACTAATTAATATAATAAGACATTTTACATGGTGATAAAACAGTCATAATTAAATGAAACAGGAGTTACTTACTTCAACACTCAATTTCAAGCTAATTAAATGTAACGATCTCGTCCAGATATCTCAAAGACTGATAATGTACGTAGCAGTCGTTTAATTCGCTCCATTAACTAAGAACGGGCTTAATGCTTCAGTTAATAAATTATTATACCAACATTTTACTCCCTACAAATTAGCGAGTACGAAACCAGTCGGAAATTGTTACTCGAGTTTACAAGTAAAAATTGTTTAAAAATACATTACTCCTGGCTGAAAATATACAGGATCAATATTCATTTTGTTCCAAGGGATTGAATATTGTTTTCCATAGCTCGGTTTTATGCATCTATAACCATATGCAACGGAGATACCAAGATGTTTCCATTGAAATGGTTCGTTCCGCGCAATTCCAAGCTCAAGGCATTTAAGCTTCTCATAAATCTTTCGAACGAAACCTTTCACAGAATATATTGTAGAACGTGTTAATAATTTGTAACACCTGCCGACAGATGTCGAGAATAAACTTCTCGTACCTGCTACGGCGTCTCGTGAAACTGAAATTCCCACGTTAGCAAGATAATTAAGAATACCTTCGATATGCCATTGTTTCTAAGCTCCATGGAATCATTACATGCAGAGTGATATTAAACTAATATTCACGAAGAACGTTGGAATATATTTCATTGGAGGAATACTAAGACATAGTTACAAACAGTACAAACAAAATAATTCCTATAAAAATATAATAACCTAAAGTTAATTAAAATTGAAATTTATTAAACCAAAGTTTTTTTGTCAAAATTATAATAATCAAGGTAAAGGACGCAGGACATAGTCTTCGAATCATTGAAACCAATTGAAATATTTTAAGTAAATACTATAATCATGTAAATGCCACAATATTAGAAACCATTTGTCCAGTTGTCTATTAAAGAACAAATCTTGGGTGACTCAGTCTGTATAATGAACGTTTAATCCAGGCGAATTCAAAGCGTTTTTCACTTAATAACACCAAGATTCGATATAGATTAAGTTTTTTAATTGTTAAACTTGTAATCAGCGTTACTTAGTTATTATAACTAAGTTATTATTATCATAATAAGTGATATTATATTCGTTTTTTAAAAGAAAGAATATTATTAAATAAAATTTTCATTCTCCTTTTCTGATAATTCATTCATGTTCTATAAGTTACATTATGTAATAGGACATGATTCCTGTTTGCACATTTTGTAACGAAATAGCTCCGAGGGTAAAGGGTTAAAAATGGTGCTAGCATATTATGAAATATTTAAATGCCCGAGTTACCCCAAAATTGGCCACTTTTCAACATCCTTTGACGTAGAAGCGTCACTCTCCTGCATGTACCTCGTAAAGTTTTACTTGTAATCAGCTTTTCCTCGGAACATATTGCAACGATAAATTTCTTATGGAAATCCTTCAAGTATATTGCTCTGGAATTGCGAATATGTATCTGGACGCGACCGATTGAAATGCTATGCAAAATGTTTAGTTACAGTTTGTAATCACTCCTATCGCAATACAATATTACATATTCGCATAATTCGTGGCATTTTTACGTTATAAAATTTCCACGATTAATTGATGACTCTGATATTTTTTAAACACATTTCACTTGTCTGATCTGTCTCTGATTATGTTCCCTGGCTTCCCTTGCCTGGCAATTTGCCGCTGATTACAAGTTTAACAACTGACACTTTGATTAATGATCCCAAAGCAGAAAATGAAATATATCAAATACGTACAGCAAAAGAAAAATAATCGGTTTCATTATACATAGGCGATTAACTTTCTCGTTTAATTTACTCTTATCGACTTTAATAAATCAGTTTCTCGCTAACACTCGTGTTTGTAAACGTTGTTTTTTTTTTTATAGATTCCCGGTACATTGTCTTTATTCATGGGACACAATGCAAGTCGCCAGGGTGAGCGATAGTAATGAACTTGTTTTGTTGTAATATGAGCAGTAACTACAAGATGGAGTTTTATTTAACTTGGATCATTAATTCTCGTCGTCGGTGTGAAATTACCGATTAATCAGTGCCATGCCTCGGGCATTTTTAGAAGATACTTTCAACCCTTCGCGTTAGTATCATTATTATTTCTCGGACAATGATAAATAAAACGGCCTCAGCGAGTGCTTCACTCCCTATAAATAGAAATGTATTTCAAACAACGAATAAAAATGTACACACCGTAGTGTACATCGAATTATACATCTTGTAAATACATAGTTTATTTATCATTACTCAAGAAATTTTTTAAAGGCGAGCAGGATGAACAATGAGTCCTTATTATTACTATCTAATGTTTGCGAGGTTTGTTAATCGCCATATATGAAATTTAATGATCTGGCACTCTTTTTGTTCACAAACAGGGAGCAATTTTAATATTCGAATATTTTACAATTTCACTGAGTTGTAATACCTATTTCACCTAATTTTATGCAATGCTTATCGTACTATTTAATTGTTTCAACGTGGAAAATTCAAAACAATGACTATTTTCATAAACAATTCAGCATCTAGGGCCAATCGATTGTCTGATAGGCGATTACTTAAATTTTGCATTTATTAGTCAACAAATAAACAATCACTGTGTTTTTTTTCATATTGAAAATCTCTCTACAATAGTATTTCTTAACACATTCGCGACCGATAGATTTTTTACGTTTCTAATACCGAGTTCTGACGAAAATAATAAAATTCTGATGCTGGACATCGCGAATTTGTATCGTTAGGGCGGAGATAAAAATTACAAAATATGTTTTGAAATATCAAGGTTGTAAATATGTAGTGTATAAAATAAAAAGGTTTTGCATAAGATAAAAAGAATAGAATTTGAAGTTACCTGAATTTACGTCAGCTGTCGTGAATGTATCAATGTTATAATGAAACGAGCCGTTCGTTGCACAAATCGATTGACTCCATAAAACAAAAAGTTGAGGAATCCGATGAAATGATTTACAAATAATAATAATAATGCGACGTAATAATGTTTGTCGTTCAATGGTGTTAATCTCTATTATTCACGAAAGTTACGACTAGACTGCGGATCTTTATGCAAAATAAAATCTTCGCGAACGTGCCTACAAAAGTTGAACCTAAATAGGAATTTATTCTATTTAGTAAATATTATAACATGAACTTTACTTTAAATCTTTTTTATATTCTTGCATATTGTTTGCATTTTGTAGTTTCTTGCACATTCAAATTTCCTTTAAATGCATACAGATCCGCAGTCTAGTTATGACTATGTCAAGTGCTTTGACACTTGAATTTCAGATTTGCTAAAAAGTGGAGTTAATCGGTTTGTCCAGTGAACGGCTCAAATATCATAATGAAGTATCCATTCGAATATTTAAGTTACTCACTGTAATTAATCTAAAAATTGTCCATACATTTGTTCACGTTATGTTACATCGACTCCTGCAACGATTTTGCAATGATCTCTTGCTCTTCTTCGGTGAAAACGCTTTTATTAAGAAAATCGCCAACGTTCGACGCGTGTCTTTCCAACAATAGTCTCCTCTCTTCTTTAACGTGTTCCATGTAAATCATCTCGCGTCTTCTTCGTTCCTCGGCTTCCATCTTCATGTTGATGATTTCTTCGTCGCGAATCTGGCGTCTTTTCTCGATCAACCGAACCAAGTCCTCCCTATACTGTAACTGCATTCTTCGTTTAGCCTCCGCGGTGAGTCTGGCAGTTCTCTCGTCCTCCATAATCTTCTTCATGATTTCTTCCGCGAATGCTCTATCCTGCTCTAGGTATCGCAATTTACATTGTTCCGTGAAAACGATCTGTTCCTCCAAATTAGCTGCCAGTTCTTCCCTCATCTTTTCCCTCTTAACGATCTCCTCTTTCTCCTTCAACAACAGTTCACATTTTACGTCCTCGGTTATCAATTCAGCGATCAGCCTCTCCTTTTCCCGCTTCAAAATCTCCGCGTTCGTCAACGCGCTCGCAAGTTCGGCGATTATTCGTTCCCTGTCTTGCGTTCGTGTTTCGCGAAGTCTCTTGGCCTCCTGCCTTCGGCGATCGATCTCTTCCCAATATTTTTCGCACTCGAGAAGCTTCTTCGCTTCAGCCTCCATTTCCTCCTCGCGATGGATGTCCTTCATCTCCTGAAAAATTAAACGCTCCCTTTTCATGATCTCCATCAGTTCCTCCTTCGCCTTTTTCGCCTTAAACTTTTCGCGTTGTTCCCTTATTCGATCGACTTCCGTTAAGACTTCCCTTTCCCTTCGCGCTTCCTCCGCCATGATACACCTCTCTTCTTCTTTCCGCGTTATCTGCTCGGTCAGCTGTCTCCTATAATCTTCGGCATTTTTAAGCTCTTCGGATCTTCGACGATGATCGCGCGCCAGGGCCGCCTGCTGTTCGAGCCGCGTCACTTTCGCAGCGTGTTGTTTTCGTACGTTCTCGATGTATCGCTCGGTCTCCCTTTCCGCGAACTGTGCCCGAAGTTCCTTGGCGATGTACGCCCGTCGCAATTTCGCTTCGAGTTCCACGATCTCGTCGTAGGATTCTCGATTGCGACTGCTTCGTCTCAGCTTCGCGATTGGACCGGCCATCGTTTTGGTAGCCCCTGACTCTAACCGTTCGCCATTTGGTTCTCCGTCCATGTTCGGTTCTCGTCGAAGGCGTGGAGCCGTGGATCGCAAGAATTCTTCGGGATCGCGGGCGATTATTATCGGTAATTAGCAAGCGCAACTTTTTAATAGATACGAGTTTCGCTACACCAAGTTTCAGATAGCGAGTGGAAGACTCGCAGCGACCAGTGTTGGTATGTCTCTTGTTTTCAAAGAATTTAAAACACGTACGTTTAATAGAAGAGAGTGCTAAGTAGGAGAAGAAATTGTTTTGTTCTAGGCTGTTGGCAGAGTTGTTGGTGAGGCCAACCGCCTCGGACGCAAATATGGGCCTTTTTCTTGGAGTTTCCCTTGAGTATCTTTCGTGGTACTTGGTTATGGAATTCCCTATTATCTGTATATAATTTTAGCGAAGATTTAGAAAACGATGTCGAAGATGAACTGATTTCTTCAAGAAGATGGCGTGTAAATAGAATTGTATCATGAAATTCCGATACGAATATCGATTATGAAATGTGCAGTTCGATTTAAAGATCCAAAGAATTTCGAATTCTTGGATCTGAAATTCTTCAACATTAACATCTGATCGTACAATAAGAATTTCGGTACTTACTAAATCGATCACTTTGATTTTTTGTAGCCCCAAATTTCAGCAACGATATATATACACACTTCTAAATATAATTATTCATTCGATATCGTTTGTTATTCCTTGACTAATATTTAAACGACCAATGTTTACTTCCGTCCTTGTATCTCATTCGTGGTTTTCTCTATGATCGTGTAAAATGACTCGTTTTTGTTTACTGCATCGCTAATCACGTCTCTCTCAAGCATTCTTCGTCATGGGTCGTATCGTGATTTACATGTCATATAATTAACCCGTGGATTGATTTAACATTGCGTAATTTTCTGTGAAACGTGACGGAGTACGTGAGAAGTGGACGGCTCTGCAACAAAAAATTGTTCCCGCTGTACACTGCGAACCACGGTCTGCCCGCGCATTTGCATTTCACACGTTCCGCGAGTAACCCGGGCACTTGGAGCGAAATTAATATCAGATTAACGGTACGTTCGATTCGTTTCTTCTTGCGGGATCTTAATTGCACTTTGGGAACTTTCGCACGGTCAATTGGATTAATTTTGAATTTATTCACCGTTCTCCATCGAATCCTATCAAATCATAGTTATTAATCCTCCTTCGGCCAGCTTTAAGATTTTAATAGCATATTTTAAATTCAAATGGGTATGAGGTTAAAAATGATTGGATAGTACCGTAGAGATCTGAGGGAATTAGGCGACATCTTTTCCTCTACAGGAAACACAGCTAAAGTAACCTGTACTAAATTAAAATTTAAAATTAAAGTAGCATACGAATCGAAGAAAAATAATATTGTTAGATTTTTTATCGTAATGTATACTAATATTATAAAGAGGTAAAGTTTGTTTGTTTGTTTGTATGTAGGGGGTAATCTCCGGAACTACTAAACCGATTTCAAACATTTTTTCACTAATAAAAAGCTACGCTATCCCTGAGTAACATAGGCTCTTTTATTTTGATTAAAATACATTTTTAATTTGGAATCTCAAAATTTGTAAATCCAGTCGGAAGAAAAGTTCAGATCCCTTCAGAAAGAGCTTGAGGTAGAATGCGTAATTAATAAAATTAATTACAACCTGAGGATTATTATTTATTAGAGCCCATTTTCTAACAAAAATAATGTATCAAATCACGACCAAATCGTGATCAAATCACGATTTTGTATAATATATTAAACTGCATGATCTTACGTGTTAATTTTTAGTTCGAATACTATCAATAAAAAAAGTACCGGCACAACCGTACTGTACTTAAAAAAAAAATTGTCGTTTTGCTACTCAGCTTACAAAATGTATCAACGTTGCGAAAAGTTTTCGTTACTTTGTTATTAGCGCCATGATTTCAAGTTTGAGGAAATAATCACGTACAATCAGTCTTCCGTGCATTCTGAAAAGGTGCGAGATCTAACTCACGCACGCCTCGACTGACTTTGATATATGTGGCCTCCAATTACGGCCTCCTTGTTCCCAGGAAGCAGATGTTCTTCCAAATGCCGTATGCTGCAACGTGTATGAGCATTCGTGACAGACACCAATTGCCGAATGATGGCAGATAGGTAGCAACACCCGAAATTTGTTATATCGGTGAATATCTTGAAAAATTGTTAACAGTCTCCGATCAATTCAACTTAATTTAAAAATATTCGACAAAGGTAGCTTGCTCGTTTAAGCATAACAGAAATCGAACGAAATTAGTCTTCGTTGCAAGCAGTTTAATCAACAATGTCTCGATTTGTTGTATTATTACATTTGAAGATCCATGAAAATAATTTTAAGGTAATAATTGGATAATTAATATAATAATGCAAATTAACTGGATATTATTGTAAATGAGACCGTGAGAATATAATGCATTTCGATTTATCATAAAAATACTACAATGTTAGTGGGTCTATTTTTATTATACTAAAAACAACTTAAGCAAATAAGTAAATAGAATTTTTTTAGTACTTTTAAGTTTTCAGTCCTTTGCGGTAAATCAAAATCCATTTTTATTCTCGTCAGTTTACTTAACAATATTTATAATAATATATAATAATATTCAATTGGTTTGCTTTATTATATTTTTATCAGACAATTAAAATAAATTTATTTTTGTAGACTGAAATTTTACTTTCTTGAAATTTTAGAAAAATCGAGCGAGAACGGGATCGCAGTGCGGAAAAGGTCGCTTCCTCCAAGCTCGAACTTCAATGTACACGTTATTAATATAACATCAGATATTCAGTACTTGATGCGTAATTCATCCAAGTGTAAATGAGATTCGCTGACGAAGTAACTACGTTGCCGTTTAATTTCAAGTATTAACAATTTAACGTTAGAATTATTCAATTCCACGAAGTTCATGAACGGCGCAGATCCAGTTAAATTTATATATCACCGTTGCATACCTTTGGAAGCGTGAAGGACAACACAACCCAGGGTTACGTTACGCTCGCATTAAATCCGTTTCAAAATATTTTTTTTCGTTTACATCACAGCGTGGTATGATCGCCTTCCGTCGTTCCCTGGTAATTGCTTTACCTTAGCAAATTAATCTCTGCGCGTGAATTTTATGAATATAACGGATACATAATTTACATCGGTAATATGACCGTGGAAACCCGGCGTTTGTAATCGTATCAGATACATATAAGGTGTTAATTACAGTCGCGACGGAATGCGCTGCGAATGTGTGGAGCATTCCATCGAAACCAGTGGCAAAAGTGTCTCACCGGAATAAGGGTACTTTGAATATACTTGTAATTCAATTAAACGAATTTCTTGTAGACCGATAACCCAACGTGACGAAGATAATACTAGTCTGATCAAGTATACTCTCAATATTTAATTCTTTTTAAATGCTCAGATATTTTATCTTTGTTCATTTATTTTTCCTTTAATACCAAAACGCTTAAAAATAATTTAATTGAAATGTACGTAGTTATATCTGTAAATAGTATAACAGGAAAATACGTCATTAGACTATATGATCTTCATTGTTTTGTACTATAACCATTGCACTGAAATTTACTTATTTTAATTACAGTTATATTTAACAAAACATTATTCTGGTGAGTCATAACTGCAATTAGCAGGATACCTTTAAAGCATCGTGGTTTCGTTGGATCTTTCTCGAGCAACTAATGAACGTGATAGAATAATACAAATTTTATTTTAATTTATCGATGAAATGGTAATATTATGGATAAGTATCAGGATTCATATAAGTTTGACCTTTTTGGTAATCTCTTTTGAGTACATCTCTTTTGAAACCTTTTTGGTACTTTAATTTTTTAGACCTTTGATAAATTGGATAATCTTGACTTTGTTAACCCAGCATTAGCCTTAGAACTAATAGATACGTTTTGTTTCACGTGGTTTAACGCAGTTGTGAGGACGTAATATCCCTTCGGATGCAACCTACAAATTCCGTCTAAATTGTTCACCAAGTAACGCCCACACAGCGTTCGTAATTTACGCACCTTAATTCCTTTAGAACAGTTTTTTCTCTTTTCCCTATCCCTGTCATTATCTTGCCTATCTTTTGACTCTATAATTATTACTTTTTACACAGTGGCGTGGCCAGTAATTTCGAGGTTCGTTAAAATTTATGGTGGATCCTTTTTCGAGGGAAATTGATCTTTTCTTTTGAATCTCGTATAATATTAGATAAAAGTAGAGTGGAATTTTTCATTTTTCATATGGATTAACCAACAAAGCTCGTGAGTGCTTGTTGAATTTCCACGAAAATCCTGTGATTTTCTTTTTGTACATTTAACCCTTTGATCGCGGGACGATTTTTGCTGGAAATTTTAAGAGGCGTAGAGGTATGAATTTTTTAAAAATATCAGCTTATAGAGAATGACGAGACGTTTAATTTCAGAGATAAAAATTGAAAACTTAGCAGATATTTCTCCTAAAATTCAATTTTTACAATCACCTTATAACTTTTCAATTTTTATTTTCGAAACAAAGCATCCTACGAATAAACTGTAAATATAAAAAAGTTTCGACTCATCATTCCCCGTAAGCTCGTGTTTTTGAAAAATTGATTTAACGAATACAAACATTTTTCTGACTCCATTTCTCGAGGGCGTGTATACATATACCCCCTTAGCAGTCAAAGAGTTAATAATTCACATGTAACGTGTTGCGAAACTTGTAAACTGTAGCTTGGAAGGATTTTAATGTATTAAACCTTAAATGAAGTAAATATAACGTAGTACTGCAATTAATGTAAGAATTTGCGAATAATGCAAATCAAGCTCCAAACTTGTGTACAAAGATTTCACGTCATACTACATATAAACAATGCATTATATAAAAGAAACCTCATAACGCCTTTTAAATGGAAAATATTTTTGTCTTTATTTTTTATAATAACTATTTCGGCAATAGTCAATGTGGTTTTCGAAATATCCACGGAAAACTCATTCTTGATCCTGTTAAGG